GGACCCAACAGCTTTGCTACTACAGAGCGTATTTTCATCAATGTTCCGGCAATACATGTAATGACGTGGAAACTGATGCATTTTATCTCGCGTGCCGAAACTAATACAAAAGAAACGCGAGTTTCGGAACGCGACATTAAACTCCTCCAACTATGTATTCTGTGCTCCAACGCACACACGCACATTGTTTTGATAGATATGATCTTTGACGTTAGGAACACACCTACATTGCTTAGACAACACTGAGTGCTTGTAATTTAATATGAACTAATTTTTCTCGCCGTAAAAACCATCCTTGAACTTCAACGAACATTTTAAAAAAAGATTTGGCCAAATTGGTCGAGGCGTTGTTGAGTTATGCGCTTACCAACACATTTTGCGATTCATTTTTATATATATATTAAATATATCATTTTAGTTACATGGCCAGTCATTTAAAGTAAAAATAATATAGGTATCTATTTATAATTTTCAAGAAATAATCAAAATAATAGAAACATTAAATAATCCAAAAATTTAATGTAATACTTATAGTAGCGGTAGTACCGGGTAATAACTGAAATGCAGCGCGATAGTTTAAAAGTGAATATAAATTAATAATTGACATTTACACGACACTGTCGGGTGTGCACGCTATATTTGTATAATTTTTACTTCGCGTATAACTGTGATGTTTTGTTAGAACTGTCAAGACCTCTTCTATCCCAAGAAATCATAAGGCTTTTAACATAATTAAGAATCTCCTTAATTCCCTGAACTTATGTAATAAATGGATTGCACCTACACACAAAATGAAGGTTATCGTGACACAATATTTTTCCGTCGTTTGTTCTAACAGCATGTACTTGATTTCGACATTTGCACTCAGAAAAATTATTTAATATTTACTGTAAAAACGATTATGCATACAAGCTTATTTAGAACTTGTAGGTATATACGTATACATAGGCATGAGGTAACTCATCCCCACATAACTAAGACAGCGGAATGTCGTTAAACATATATTAATAACTGTTTTATAAAATTAAATTAAAAAATTCAGTCTTTTTTTTTACTTTATTTAATTATGTAAAATCCTATCACTCTGTTATTAATATGTGATTCTTGTGCCAATATACCTTGGTTTTCTTAGTTTGATGTAACTGTTAGAAATGTCAAAATATAAATCCGAGAACCATTTAAAACCTGAAAAACTTGTATATAATTTTATACTTCAATAGTATTAGAACGATAATTATTTATGGGATTGGTAGCGTGTCGAATGTAAGTGAATTCAAAATAAAGCAAAATTACAGATCTGCCATTAACATCCACCAAATAAGAGTTCAGTAACTCTGTTATCATAAGATATATGTAGCATTCCCTTAAATTTCTACAAATTGCTATTCACAACACACGAAGTCATAACGATGTATACCACTACTATGACAAAACTACTTTATTCCATAAACTCTATAACATAAAACAATATGATTAATTATCAAATGACTTTAAATTAAATCAATTGAGTGAACATATAAAGTATATGTCGTAGCCAACTGGTTAACCAGTCTCCGTAAAACTGTACAATACGTTAGATTATAATCCATATCGCAAGAATGTAATCTGTCGAAAAATTGTGATCCGTATCATAGAGTATTAATTCGATGCATTATTTTTTAATAATTATACCCATACAAAGTCAAACCATGAATTCAGAAATAGCATAGAACGATGCTAGCGAGCTGATTGGTTGAACGTTATGTGGCCAACGTAATGATAAATAGTATAACAGTAATTATAACAGTATATTATTTAACAGTAATTTTAAATTTATATCTTTATAAAAATACCAAACACGAACGCAAGACTGATCAATCAGGGGCAGCGAACATTTGACAAAAATAGGTATATTGTACCTAATTTTTGACTTAGATTATAATCTATCACAAAAAAAGTAATACGTTATATAGGCTAGTTGACTACTTTTTTTAATAAATAGCCCATTAATATCTGAGAAATAATGTAGAAGTAACAGCATATCTGCAATTAATAGTATCGGAGATACGGTGCTATGTTTGCTGTTAGTCGACCGAAAACGATCTCTACAAATTTAAGCCACAAAGTGACCTCACTCCTTGTTAGGGTATCGAAAAAAGCATGGGCGTCTGGGCAATCTATGTATTTTGTGCGTTCCTGTTTATAATTGTTATAATGAAAGTTGATACGTTTTATATAATTAATTTATTACCATATATATTTTCGCAAATTTTTGTAATCTGTTATCCCCACTTTTTAATATTTCCCAAATTAATGTGATAACATTTATTTTGTTAAATATTTATACATTCAAATGGTTTCTATTTTCGGAACATATAACAGAAACCTGTATTTTCAATTGTAGGACACATCCCTATTGTACAGAACACAATTTTTAATAGTTTACAATCTCGCGAGGTTTATGGGGCGATGGGAGCTGCATGCGAAGTGGGAGCAACCCACAGAAATAAATCTAGTTAGAAGGAACATGTTCGTCGATTTATATGGAGACCGAGCGTGCCACATTTTGTGTAGGTATCATGACGTCACGATCTTAATTTAGTGATGGAAGACATAATTTCACTTGCATCGAATACATGTTGTATTTGAAACGGCATACCGATTCTTATCGATTGAAATAACGATATCGATCGACGGAGACCAACGTGTACAGTCTGTCTATAAAGTCATGAAAAGAATGTTTGAGGAACTAACATTAGACACAAGTATGACAACACTGAATCAAACTGAAGCTACTTCTTCTAAACTCCGTCGAAAAGTAAAAAAATGAAGAGAATTTATCAGAGTGAAGCTCAGGATATTATTTATAAAGTTTTTCAGTGATGTTTATTGGAACAAGAAGCTAGACACATTTTATCATATTTGTAGGATGTTGAAGCTCGAACGGCAGTTATGGCTGGTATGTAATCTTGTTACTGATTGAGTTTTGGTTACCAGAAGTTTCAAATTTACTAAATATATGAATTTAAGTGTAAAAGAAGTATTGATTACATTATGCATTTATAGGTTAGATTGAAAATGTTAGAAGGCTATATTGTAGTGCGGCCCGAACTTTCAATACTTTTGGATAATCAAATTTATCATTGATTTTTAATCTGAATAAAAAATATACCTGTTAGGAATGTACGATTTTTACCTACGTACGCCAATAAAAAGTTTGTGCTTTATATTACTAAAATTATAGCATTAATTTGATCATTGTGGCGATTCCATTCTTTTTGCCAAATACATATAGGTATTACATTTTTAAAAACTTACTTTCAGGAAAATCAGAGAATATAGTGATACGTATTGTAGATAAAGGTTATAAAAATGGTGGCATATTTGAAACCCCTGGGAAACATAGATAGTCGTCCTAAGAAATTAATTGTTAACTGCAACATTTGTGCACTTCGACAAAAGATTCAGTTCTTTTACTCTGTGAAAAAAAGAGGTACCTACATAAAGAAAACATCAGTGGATTGCCAAAACTGATCTGGATTTTAATTGTAGCCTAGAAGTTCTGCGTTAAATTCTGAAATATATTGGGTTTTCTTACAAGGAGTGTCAAAGTAACAGGCTTTTAATCGAACACAAGCACAAATTGCAGTAAAACGAGAAAACAACTTGGCAATTATAAAAAAAAAAAGATTTATCAAAAATTACGATTACTATATTGTAACCTTCAATGTAGAATAAACTCATTGTCTACGAATTATACGCCTTTCTTTACCTTTTCTGGGGTAATAAAAGTAAAAAAAAATCCTACTATCAAAATCATTTGTCTCACTACACAGGGTTGCTACGTGCACGATCGCAGCGCCCTCAATTTTTTTCATGACTTTATAGACAGACTACCATTTTGCTTAAATATTATGTATATGTCACGAACTCACGAATGTAATTTAGTGAATCGGCGCAAAAAAGATTTTATGCGATAGAATAGAAATCGGCATTTTTCTGTGGGCAAACACTTTGTAGTAGCCGCTACCCCCCCCTCCCGACACGCTACACATTTTTACGTCCTGTGTTGTTATGTTATATTTCACGGCGGGCTTTTCTGCAACTCGATACTTAGTGCCTATTTTGCATGACACGGGGTTGCTTTAGTCCTGCCACCCCAGCTCCTCCAGGAAGCCCGTAAGATCTCGAACTCTGCCGCATGCTTCCACTAGTATCCTTGGGCTTCATAGATATGTAGTCCTTTTGTCTTAATAGGCTCCTGCATTCCAGTATCACATGAGTGCACAAGCGCTTATGTGATACTGGAATGGAGACTGAGGAGACAATCTCCTCAGTCTCCATGCACGCCCTGCTCAGAGGACTGTCAGAATAACCCATGTTATATAGGTGTTTGTTAAAGTTTCCATGTCCAGTAAGTATACCTACTATTTGCCTTAGAGTCTTGTTGCTTAAATCCATTTATTTTTAATATTAGGATCATACGGAAAACTAAAACAAAAATTACAGTATAATTCAATATAAAATTAATTATCCTTTCTTCTGCTTTCAAAAACGACATATTTTTAATCGGGTAAAAAAATCGCATTGTACAGCACTATTCTCCATTTTTGACAGAAAAAAATGATAATTTGTCCTCCAACAAATTGACCTTGAATTATACATCGATGGTTTTTACAAGCACAGCAAATTTGGACTGTCAAATTAAAGCCGCAATGGAAAGCTATTACTGGACACATGACCGTTTTGATAAAAATAATACGGAGCAACAAAACTAATGATTTTTAATTCAAAATAGATATATCAAGGCAAATAGTTACTTACCGATGGAAGGAAATACCTCGACTATAAGATCCAACCATATCGGTGGTGTTTGAGCAGGTAATTATCGAACAACGCATCATTTTAAATTTCGTCCAACACCGATTGCGATCGAAAGTTGACTGAGCCTCGCGGCGAGCAATGAAGCTGTCTAGACGTCGTTTCGGCACGCGAAGTACGTACACTTTTTCCTTCTAACTAGATATATTTCTGTGGTTTACTACCTATAATAATTTTGCTATATTTATGGTGGCATATATATCTAATTATACATACTTAACTAATAACTTACAGAGTTATGACTATATTTACCAGTTAAGGCCAATCCTCGTGCATATTATATACAGAATGCCATGTCACACCGTTACCGATGGGTGCATGTTTTGACGGTAAGAGAACATTTCTCCAGAAAGTTCTACCTTGAATCAACCCCAGAAACAGTTTCCAGTTCTTTTTCTTGCCAAAGTTATATGGATTCTTATACCTCTTGTCTATCTTACGTATAGACGCGTTTATGTGCGCTTCGACACTTGTTTCGCCGTGACTTATGTGTTTTCCATGCATTATTACTAAAGTTCCGAGAGCAAAAAACACTGAAAGACAAGTGACCGCCATAAAGAATACGGCTTTCCTTTTCCATGGATGAGCGCAAATCCGCTGAGACTCGGTGATCGGTGGAATTGGTAAATCATGCTCTCTAGGAAAATTTATAGAATCATATTCAACTATAACCTTGATTGGAACTAAAGCACCGGTTTTATTGATACGTACAGGATGACCTATTAGATCCGGGTCATTGTTTGGAATGATTCCACCTGGAAATAAAATTGGGCTGATTAAAATATTTAAGTATGAATAAATATTTTTAAATAACAGACGCATCGGTTAACCGTTCGGGAAATATTATATGATAGTATTATGTTATCTATACTATAATCATAAAGAGGAAAACTTCGTTTGTTTGTTTGTTTAATTGTGATGAATAGCCTCAAAAACTACTGGACCGATTTTAAAAATTCTTTCACCATTCGAAAGCTACATTATCCACGAGTAACATAGGCTATACTTTATTTTGGAAAAAATAGTGTTCCGAAAGATATTTGGGTTTTTCGGACACAAGTTGTAAACAATCAACCAGATAAGTTACTTATTTTGCGTACGCTGCCTAAACTATAATAGATAGAACCATAAAATGTTCACTTTTATTTGTAGATCTTACAAATATCTACAAAAAAGTTCGCGACACACTTTACCTATCTATGTCGGTACTAAAACCATTGTGAGGCACAACAACCATTTTTTTATTTAAAAATGTTGATTTTCCTTTGGACTACATTTAAAGGCGTTTATTTTATTCATGCTATTAATCCTTATCAAAATAAATTATTTCATCACTAAGTACAGTTTATGTAGATAATATTTGATCTTTGAATGATTAAAATTGGACGTTTGGTTTTCAAGTTATGGCGAAATTAAAATATTACGATTTCTGCTGCACGGCCCGTTGCAAAGTGGACGTCACCATAGCGGGGGTGCGCTTGCGAGAGGGGAGTTTAGATCTATAAGTACCAGGTACCAGTGGACCACGCGAGCAAAGCCGCTGGCGGAAAGCTAGTAAATAAATAAACGAACGGACGAAGGAACGAACAAACAAACAAATAAATAAATTATATTATATTTGTAACGTAATTATATCTTCGATGCCATATAAAATCTCTGTTCCCGCGACTTTTTAAAATCGGTCCAGTTGTAGAGGAGCTTACTAGATGTAAACAAACAAATGATGAAATCTTCCCTCTTTATAATATTAGTATATATTCAAAATAATATATCCAAAATAATACAGAATCATATTAATTTTGTATTAGATATAATAATACCTGTATCATTTAGCCACAGTACATTAAAGCCAATATCGAAGCCAGCAACTATGAGAAACGTTACTCCAACAACCATGTAGACCATATACAAGTAGAAATATCTTGCATTGAAATATCCTACACAATTGTTTAGCCAGGGACAATGATGATCCATGCCCAAAATGCAACGATCGCACACTGAGCAATGATGGGTACGTGGTGGCTTTGGGGTGATACATTTTTTACAAATGGCAACTGCATTAGCTATTCTTGCAGCCTATAAAAAAAAAACACAAATTGAGAATTTTCTTCTTTGTTTTGTATATTTGTTGTATGAGATTATAATGGTTCCAAATAACTATACTCATGTCCATATATTATTAGAATATGGAAACAACAAATTCCAGATATCAAAAGAAATTGCTAGAAAACAATATTTATTGCTAAGAAATAAATGACTCTGGTTGATTATAAATACAGAATAAAAAAATTTTTTTAGTCAAATTATTTAGCTTATTATATCATCATTTATGAAAACAAAAACTATTTCTTTCAAATATAATTCCACATACCTTATAAAAACATGTTTTATGTTATATACAAATAATTAACAAGGAGAAATGTTATGATTAAACTTACCGTAGGCGGATATCCTGGAGGGGTAACAACCCCCATAATATAGTGAAAAATAATATTTAACAACAACCAGTTACCACAAATCACTAGGAAAATAGTAAATTGTGGATTGCGCTGCCACCAATATGGTAAACCGACCCAATATGCAATAAGAACCACAGCAGCAGTGAGAACACTCACACAGAAAACAAACACCTGAAATATAGAAGACATGGTAAAGATTAATAAAAATAATAAATTAAATTTGGTGACTATAGGCTGGTCATAGGCTTGCTTATTGTTGAAAAGTAAAACTCTGTGGAAGGTGGTAAAATGAAATATTTCTTTTGTGCATTGGATAGTTTCTTAGAAAAGCACCCAAATAGCTGGATATTATGCAACAGAACTGCTTCCAATGAAAGAAATTGCTGCATTGCTGCTACCCAGTTAGCATCATATAGTATTACACTATTAGTAATCTACAGGATGTAAGCCACCCATATACTAGCACAAAGATCTATGGATTCCTCTTGAACATAGAACCAAGTGTAAAAAAAAAAAATAAGGATTATAACATTTTAATATCACACCCAAGCTATTATTATTTCTTATTAGACTACCCATATTTTGATTTACTTACTGTTCTTGACGATTCATATAGATACAAACACAGCAACACCACAACTTATCATACATAAACTGAAGTCATAATTGAATTTCTTTTTTATATTGGATTATTAAACTTTACCAAAATATGATACAATAACTAATGTCTAATACTCAATACTCTGTAGTTACATTATACATAAGCCACCTTAATCTCGAACGCAATTACAACAGATTGATATTGCAGTTGCGAGCTTCACATTCTTGATTGGTTCACTAGCATACTCTGGAGGTAGTTTAACTAATCAAGAGTACAAAACGGTACTATTGCAAAGTTAATTGGTGATGACTGAATTCGAGAGTAAGGGGGCAGGGCATAAAAGTATAATAATTTTTAGAATTAGAAATTTTACAGTTGTTTGTCTTATTTTTAGACCACAACTGAATTAGTCAATATATTACCACTAATATATAAGTAAAAATTACTTGCCTTTCCCAAACAAGAAGCAAAATTGTCAACAAACCAAAATATTGGTTCCAGCATACAGTCTATAGCATAACTCTGACTCAAATGTTCATTGTAAGTCAACGACCTTACAGTCAAAACAGCTTGTGCACACTTAAAGGCAATGCAATTTCTGAAAATTAAAAATGCATAATAAATACACACATTTAAAACAATTTTCGCTGGTGAATTTTTTGTGACTACAGAATTAATTAAAACAAGGATGAAATAATATTGAAAAGAGGTTTTAAATAGAAATATAAGTCTTATCTTTCTCCAAGCACCATACTATTTCTATATCAACATCATCACAATATGCAGTTTGTCTGTGAAAATTTAACTTTTACAGTTATAATATATTTCAGCTTATCAAATATTCTATATAAATTTTAAACATACTTTTAAAAAGTAATCCTGAATCTGAGAATATTCATACATTATTATAACTAGTAATCATACTGTAAAATTCATATTAGCAGTAAACGAATTTGATGACAATAATCCTAATGCATGTACATCAAACCTCAACAAACATGTTAATAGAAGCTAAAGCGACAAATTTTATGTACGAAAACACATGAACCATTCAACACAAGTACATGTTGAATTTTCAAAACTCTAGTTGCAGTGTAAAAACATGTTCACCTCATTTGGTTGGGATTGATTTTATTTTACAGCAGCATATATATAAAATAATTGTTTACTACATGAAATAGAGCACACAAGATACAGACAATAAATATAATGCTATAAATTAATGTTACACTATTCTTTTAATACTGTAATTTTTTTATATCAATACATAGTATAAACAGAGTCTCTTTCTGTAAGTATGGATGATTTTACTACAAAATAGAGGAACATGTGGGTGAAGCAACTGACGGAATCATATATAAAATCAAGTACTTATTTGTTATACAAGTCTCAAGAGTTAATAAATTATAGACATAGATAAAGATGGATATTGGTTAATAGAGAGATAATGAATAATGTTAATTATATTTAAAAGATTAGAATACATTTTACGATATTAAATAGTAGAACTAATTTTTTCAAATAAAAACCAAATTTGAAAACTTAATAGATTTACTGATTAAAATTAGTAAATCTATTCAGCTATTTAGTTATTTACGAAGAGACATAACTGTATTTACAATATTAGTGGTACAGAACAAGCAGTTTCATTAGGTTATTTTTCTTAGTCCAATAAAATACTTTTTGATTACATACCTTAGGTATCGAAAAATCTCTTTAATGTGAAATTTCCAAGTTATTACAACCATTTTGGAAAAATATTTAATCAAATTGCACACAAAAACATGGTAATGAAATGTTAAACAATGAAAATCATGAACTTTCTACTAAAGTTTAACTTTAAAGCATTGTATTGGGTTTGTTTTATTCAATGCCTACTCAGCAATTTATTTACTCATGATATTTTACTAAAATTTGTAGATTAAAATATTAAACTACGAAAAAACCTCGATCGCTTGACTTCACATTGACAAACTTTGGCATTGTTGACAATTTGACGTAACTAGTGATGAGTCCTCGTTTTTCAATTTTGAAACACCTCATTAAGTTCCTCACTTTTGAAGTGAGGAGCTAAATGAGGTTGTGGACTTTTTGAATGTGTAGCTAAATAGCGAGTTGTTTCGAATGAAAAGGCGACTCGATATTTACTCAATATATTCAAGATTGAGGGAATGGGTTAAATTTTATGAGTTTTTTGGAACGATTCAGGTTTGTTTATGTGTTTCTTCGCAAATACGTATTTAAGATTTTATAGATAATTGGTGTGAATTAGACTAAGTAAATATCAAAGTTAATAAAAATGTATCTGTTTTATTTAGAAATGTATTTATATGATTCGAAATATAAATGATTGATCGATTTTAAAAATGGAACATTTGACACTATTAAAAATAAGTTGCATGTTGTGGTCATTCTGATAAATTATAGTCTAGTAAAGTTTATTTCTTAGAATCTAAAGATAAAATATGTTTTGTTTAGCATTACCGACTCCCTCCCTCATTTTGTATCAAACGGCAACGTTGCGCGCGCCTCGCTACGTACTCATTCGCTGCTACTGTAACATTACCTATCCTCACCACAAATGAGTGGTAACTCGCGAGCCCCTCACGAGGGAAAATGAGGTCCTCACTCATCCTCATTAAAAAAGAGTGAGTAACACAACGCTAGACGTAACGGAAGGATACGTAAATAGTAATTAGGTTAAAAATATCGTACCCTTGAGATATCATTTTAATATCGATACCGTTTACTATTTTGGAATAAATTCTTTTGATTTACCTACAACATGAAACAAATGTCGCGAATCCATCTGCGCAGGTTGATGTAGTCTTAAAGTTACTGTTGATTGCATGCCATTACGAAACTAATTTTACATGAGCTAAAATTGGTTCCGTGAAATTTTTTCGTAATGTGAATTTTAGCAATATTAAATGAATATTAAATCTCTAAGATCCCTCCGGGAGAATCGAATTTATCAAAATAAAGTTTTTAAATAAAAGCTTAACTATTTTATATTTCAAATAAATTGTTTTTTTTTTAATTTTATTTTGTATTTAAATACTTTTCATGCACCTAAATGATTTAAAAAAAAATGACTTTTCTGGTAATGATGATAAAACTTACGAGTAAAGTATCTTTCAAATACATTTTTCTTTTCTAAGTAAAATGCAATAAATACTTTTTTTCTATAAAATAGAATATGCATATTGGAATATTTTATATTTTCATTTTCAATCCAAGACGGTAGTATATTGGTTCGCAACGTCGGTGCACATTATTACAGATTTACTCTCCGGATGATTTGTGGTCTATTCTGGCTTGTTTTTTCTTACTGGTTAATAATCTTTCTTTTTGATTTGAATTAGCAGGATAGTAGTTAAGATTTTCATAAGAACAATAATAATTATTTTTTTAATAAATAAGTAAAACAGAGATTAGTAAAACTTAAGATCAAAGTATTTGACAAATAGGAAACACGTCTGCAAAAGTAAACAATATATTATTACACTTTTGAATTCAAAGATCAAAATAGGAATATTGTGTATTCTATTAAATACAAATACTTCAAATAAATCATATCTTTGCATTATGTTAGGAATACGGTACCTATCTTGAAGTACTACTTTACTTCATTCGTTAGCTACTTTCATGGTAGAAGCAAGTTTCTTGCAGATCTTGCTGCAGAAATTGCTTATATCATTTAAAATACTTTCAGTACGATACGTTTAATAAGATGTTAGTATTGGTAAAGTATCAATACAATAAAACATTGCCTTTCCCTATATTGACGTTAAAGTGATACCATAGAGAAATATAATATTACCAAAAGGAGTGATACTGGCACCGTAACGTAGACAGAGTTACTCTGTCTACGCACCGTAATGATACTGGCACACTGGCACTGACACAAGTATTTTTAAGTCAATATAATATAACGATAATCTTAAGCAAAGGGATCTCATTTCATACATCCTAGACTTTTGTAATATTAGTCTTTTGTTTATTGATGTATCAGGTGATTTTATATGAGACATTTACAAATGCAAAACTGTCGACTTCTTCTTTTGAAATAGTTTTATGTGTTTTGCACAATTCTGCCAATGTCAAGTAAAATTAAAATGTAAGATGACGATCTGTTTACTGAAACTGTTGACATTTATGCTTGCTAGGGTGACCAAGAAATCTGCTTATCTTTCACACGTTTGCAATGCAGGTCAGCGACTTGTGAGGCTCTACCCCAAAGATTAGTATTATAATTCTCTACCCTTCCCTCTCCTACCCACAGAAGAGGGGAATCATAATATATTAAATTATTATTATTATTTATATGCATATTTTTAAATAAAGTATGACACTAATTTTACTAAGCACAACTTTTCAAAACGAATTATAATATTATTACATAAGTATATGATAATAAATCGTATCCATAATTTAACCCGATTCCTATCACTTTTATAATCGTTAGACAGGTACTTATTAAATAATTCAAACTTTTTATTTCTAAATTTATTACTAATAAAGCTCCGCAATATGAAAAGGTATACAAGTAGTAAACTGTTGAAAACGTTGAAGTGTATTATTTGGACCTTTCAAACAAGTACTAATGCATTCTTCTCGTGTTTCAAAGTTATTTTGGTTTCCTCCGCAGCCTGAATAGATACGGCGTTTGCAGGTCCTGGAAGAAAAGAGAATCAATTTTGTTCCTGAGTAATAAATACCAAAAGAGGGTGCGTACAGGCCCGTACATGAATACTGACTATCTTTCAATTAATTTCGTATTAAGAAATCGGCCAAATAAGAATCAATACAAAATTAAATAACTACGTTATACTAAGGGTATTGTCAAAGCCAAAACACACATTTTCAAAACATTATCTAAAATAAGTATATGACAAACTTTAGTTCACCAACTCAAAATTATTTATGTAACTGTAATTTCTTTTAAGGGAAAATTGATAAATGTGGGTCACGTTGTATTCGAGGAGTTGTCTGCAGGTGCTGTGGATGAGAAGGATGCAGCGCTTCTACAATATTAAAGCGTTTTTAGCACGAATTTCGCAATCTACTATAGACAGGGACAGTTTTTTGGCTTTAAATTCTGAAGTTAAGTTGTTATAACAACGTGTATTAATATAATTTAATAATTTATTAATATAATTTAATGAAAAACCTGCATGAATAGCTTGTGCACTTTTTTTTCCTGATCGGAGCGGCGCTGTTTAGGGCAGCTCTCTTTGTAGCTACACGTCACTTACGCTAGGTAAGTTGAGATTTATGGAACGTCGGCAATTGCTTGCTTTGTTACTCTACGTGCGAAGACGTAGAAGACAGAAAAAATATTGGGTTCATCCCCTTATAAGTAAATGATACCTAAATAATGACCTGACTGGGTCATTTTACATAAACCATAATAAACTGAGGCATAACGAAAGATTTTTTTTTACTACTATCGGATTACTACTATCAGATGTAAAAACTTATACCCTTACTAATTTAGAAACACCATTATTCACATACAATAGTTAAAAATATCTGTGACATTAGAATAAAGTCACTAATAATGTTCTAGTACTTGATGTTTAAATTTATAATCGTGCTATTTTTCTTCGAAGGCGTTTAAATCAGCCATCCTATTCTAAGTTTTGTCATGATTTAACTATAATCATTATAAGATCAGTTGACTGTATTATATAAAGGTATAAATACTTCGCACACCTCGTTTTAAACTGAG